CGACCATGCTTAGCTATGATCATTCGACGGTTGCACGTGGACTAGAAAAGCTCGGCAAGGTAGAAAAGCTTGGTCGATGGATTCCTCACCAATTCAATGGCGGGAAACTTTCCGGTCAACCTAATACTTCCTCTCGCCTTCAGTTCTTTGCAGATTCTACCAAAAAAGCCTGATGCCCCTCCCAAGCGGAACAACGCCGCAAACACAAAGCCCAATAAAACAAGCAAGAAAAGAAGAACGGAACTTTAACGTCAAATCCTGCACACCTTGCCATATTTATGCGATTAAAGCTGTATCGTTCTCTTCTATATGTACAGAAGAATGCATGCGCTAACAGACACGCACACTGCTCTTGACTCAGCGTGACAGAATTGCTCCGATTGGCTCGTAGCAGTGGTACAGGCTAAATAAAAAGATGACTAGAGAATAAATAGCGAAACACAAGTTTTAAATAGAAACATTCCTCATACGAACGGCAGTCTAAAACAACGAACGGATCATCAAATTTTTCACTTATAAAGGGGCTAGGCTAGCCGGCCTTCAGCCTCGAACACAGAACACCCGGGCCGATGGAGATCCCGCAATATGTGCTCGGATTATGTATCCCCCACTCGAGGTCGATTGTATACCCCTCGACAGCCGTCCCTTCGGAAAAAAAAAGCGGAGGTAATTTTGGGAAAAGGACTCAGGAAAGGGGTGGGAAGTTGCGAGGACTTAGCAAAGCTGGCAGGTAGAATGGTCGATAGGGAACGAGGGTCGCACCAGAGGAGCAACTTTCAAGGGCGGGTCTTGTCTTGCGAAATTTTCTCTTTAACGGCAAGACGTGCCCCGCTTGGACAATATAATCACTTACCGACGTTACAATGAACTTTGCATTCACTGCTAACTTTGCGATTCCGGCCATTACATCGAGTGCATCTCGTTCTTCCGTAGACGACAACCCTTCCATGAAACCAAGCAAGCCGTCAAAGGACTTGATCCACGGAGCACATTCTTTTAGAGTGACCTTGGAGAGGGTTTTTTAGTTTCACAGTGCCTCACAGTTACTACCGCCAAGCAATCAGTTCTCAACACAAAAAGAAAGTAAGAAGGAACTTGGCCCACTTACAATTACTGCTTCAATACAATGCGCTCCATCGTGTACAAGTGCACGGAGGGCTCTGTCGATGATGATATGCCTACAGGATAAACGTTCAGTAGAAAAATGAATGCGTGGCTAAATGATTTGACACTATGCAACTACAACTGTCCCAAAATTTCGAATTTCCTCCTCGCTGAAATAATGGTTGCATGGTTTTTAAAGCACTATGGTCACGAATATGACATTTGTTTGTGGCAATGACGCTGGCGTTACCAGTTTCAACAAAAGAAAAAATCAAATCGCAGGCACATGTGGGCTTAGTGGGGGCACCAAATGACATTTAGCTAAGCTTGTACGGGCCAAGTTGTTGAGACCCGTAAATTTCAGAGACCGAAGTGGCTTACTTCCACTATTTCGTAGCTTCACAGTGTTTACAGGTCTTACTCAAGTGAGACCTGCTAGTTAACAAGAACTAGCAAAAGGAAATAGCAAGTGCGAAATGCTCCATACAGCCGAACAGGGCCAAACTTGCATTCTAGTCACTGGATTTACATCCCAATTACATATATTTTCCAGTAACAACACCACTTAGCGATTTGCTAAAGTTGGGTCTGGGTTTGGAAGGGGAGAGAGGAGGCGAAAGGGCGAATCTCTTCCATCAGAATCAGCCTTGGCAGGTTGCTTACAGAGAAAAGTGGGAAGTTGTTCTACTTTAAAAGTTCTACTTTATCACATTTTAATGTAGTTTTTGATACAGAAGACCGTTATGATTGGTTTTATTTACCGTTTTTGACTTTAATTATTTGATTTCAGAGTTGCTATTGATGTTTGATGGCTTTGCTTCTTGCAGTGGTGCCTCACGTTGACTCCGATGACGAAATAGTTTTTGGCATCCACGCACAGATGGCAAACCAACACACAGTATTCAGTCGCATTTGTCGGCAGCAGAAAAAAATGGCCTTATCTCCCACAACAGGCACGCGAAGACTGTCTGGTCACCAATGCGTTAACACAAGGCAAACAAGAAGTTCCTTTATGGTTCTTGTGTCTCCGGTAAAAAAAACATGCGTGCTTGTTTTTAGGTGGCGCGAGTACTCTTTGGGTGTTTTTTGCAGAAAATGCTCTTAATAGGACAGAAGGACACTGTTACGCTAAAAGCAGTACCAGAAAAATAGTGAATGGAGTAACTGTCAAGGAT